TTTTCAAGGTCTAAAGCCCCCCCCCCTGCCCATTGAATCCTATGCATTACATTTGGAGATTCTTGCTCCAAAGTTAATGTAGGTTTCATTCTGCCTTTAACTCATTTACTCTTCCTAACTCAATGAAAGGTGCCTGATGTGTGTCACAGCATTGAGCGATAGAAGTGGAAATTGGTTCCAATGGATCTACTGTAAAGTGATTTTTTTTTCTTCAAAAAAAGCAAATCCAAGTCCATAATTGAAGTCTAGTATAGGTGGACCCTGTTCTACTCCCAGGCTGCTATCTCTCTGATAACAACAAAAGAAGTACTCACCAGACAATTATCTGTTGCATGTGTACAGAGGAGCACCAAGGATAAAAAGTTCACCTCACTTAAAGGATGTTTTAAACATTTTAATAATTAAGAGTATCAGATGTAGCCAACATATTTCAGAGGGGAAAAACCTCTCCCTTTTTCAGGACTTGAGCAACACAAAGGGACCTGCGGTAAACCTAAATGTAGACTAGTGACTAACACAGGTCCATTTGTACTTTGTATGAGATTTTATTAACATCAACTGCTCAAGCCCTGAAGAATGGGGTGGTTTTCCCTTCTGAAATATGTTGGCTGTATCTGATGCTCTTAATCATTAAATGTTAACTATTAAAAATCTGTTAAGTGAGATAAAGTTTTGTACCAGCAACTCCTCTGTGCACACTCAAGAAATAACCCAATGAAAGAGACATGGAAGGGCTGGTAAAAATCTTTTTTTTTTTCCTGAATTGTAAAGACCTATTTCTCTCCTTCAAGTTCATAGTAAAATCCTAGCCAACTAATTTAATCTACCTGCACTGTCCCTGATCCATACTGCCCAATCAGACTTTAGACCAGATAAAAACACAACCTTTACTACTAGACAGTTGTTTTTGTATCTCTAGGTACCACATGATTGTAGAAGCACAAGGGTGATTGACTCCTTCCATGCTGTAATAGCTTCAACTCAACAGAGTTGCTAGAGTGGCAATGCCTACATAATTATGGGTTTAGTTCTAACTTTATTAAATGGTTGCAATTACTATGCCAACATTATTTTGCTAGGCTGTTAGCAAACAAATGTATCTTAGAGCCCTTTCCTTGATTTTGGGTGACACAGTCTGTTATCCCCCCTATCATATGCTCTTGTTTTAGAACCATTGGCAATCTCTCTCTGTGCTAATCCAATAATTCAGGTGAGAAGCTTTGTAAAAAAAAATGTGGTTTCTCTGCTACCTGTGGTTTTACAAGCATGTGTTCTGTTCTCACTTCCTTGCTGCACAGAGCCAACAGCTATGTGTGTCATCCTCCCCACCTACTGATTAAAATACCTTACTTCTTGGGCACTACCTGCCTAATATCCCAATTTCTCTCATTATTTAAGTTAGTCTCAAATCAGCTCACATTGTTTGAGAAACATATTATTCTCATTTTGTTTGACATGACTCCTATGGATGCTCCATCACACTGGCCAGAGGCTCACAGTTCATCTGGACAGTACAGTACTTAAGTGCCATTTGGTTCATCTGTTTTTAGCTTCCACCAGAGAAGAGGATGGACTTATTACATCACTAGGCTGTCTTGAATACTGAAAGATATTTAGATATATACCTGGTTGGTGAACCTGCCTTTCTTTTGAATTTTGAATATATGCTAAAGCTAAGCTAAGCAAACAAATGACAAATGCTTGTTTCCCTTCTAATACTGGCCTCTACATTGCTACTGTGTCATGAAGTAACATAGATTCTGGCAGGTGGAACTACAGTACGCATTGAGAGACAGGAATCCAAAAATGTAAATGTAGGATAACAGCATTGGCTGTGATAATACATGGTGTCTCAGCAAAATTTTTGTTCTTAAATATTTGGCTTTAAAAAAATCCAAAAATAACCTATCAAAAAATAAAAGTCAGCAGCCACAAAAACTGTAACTGCTGACTTTTAAAAAACAGCCACTTACCTGTCCCTCGGTCCCGTGGTGTGTCCCCGGCAGGTCGTTTCACTGGCTGTCCTGTATTCCAGGAGGCTGGCATCTTCAGTGTGGGGAACCGGGTGTGATAGCTTGCGGCTTCACAGCCGGGTACTCACTGCTCATGCGCGAGTAGCGCTGAACTTCATGAATGGTCGTGTAGTCTTCTGGGACCTGTCACATGTCCCAAAAGACTACAGAGAGGGAGGGAGAACACCTTCTGCTTCTGATTGCCTAGGCGATCGGACCGTAAGTGGGAGCGGGAACCTGTCAAATTTGGGTACCCTCTCCCCCCGACCCCCCAAAGGTGCCAATCCTTAATGGGGAGCGGGGGAGCAGTCCTTAAAGCGGAACTTCCCATTTTGGGTGGAGCTCCGCTTTAAAGTATATGTAAACTCATTGAATAGGACCCTAACCAAGAAAAACTAGAGGGGCTTTGAAGGTACAAAACCATATATATAAACATAAATTGTACAAAAATGTAATGACAGTTAGTAAAAGTTAACACCTTTTATTAGGTAAATAAATAACCACCAACAGGTGGAGCATAATCATCAGACATATACATGGAAAGTCATAAAATACAATTGGTGAGACCTGGCCACAGTAATTGTTACTGATGTCCTAGATGAAAAAATGCATCACGAGCCTCAGCTACATATAACCAACAGTTACAGCCTCAAGACACCAAGGCTGGGCTGTAGATAATGATAGACATTAATAGTACATGGCTATCAACTTGGAAACAAGAAGTGATACTTGGTTGGTGTAAAATACCTAAACTGATAGTATCATATTATAGGTGTTAATAAACATATAAACATATAGTTTCCACTTGGGACCATGAATGGGCACTTTGTATCAACATTCCAACACATTTCACAGGACAAAGCCCACTTCTTCAGGGAAACAAAACACAAATTCATACAAAACACAAATTCCTACAGCAAGCAAATACAGAACTAAAGATATATAATCATACAAAATTATACAAAAAAAACAACAAAAATTAATAAAAGGCTTAACAGCAATTACCAGTTGATGATACCAGCACATTCCTAGATGGCTCATGCAAAATATAGGACCTGTAAATCGTATCTGATGGAAAGAGAGGGGGGCCTTCATCAACTATGAGGAATGATCATCAATCAGGAAAGGAGCTATATCCACTCGTAAACTTGTAAAACAGCAGAATTGTCATTCTAGGGAATCACAAAGTACATTGGTAAAAAAATCTAATCCCAACTTCACCCCTACTCTCCATATTGGTCATAAGTCCAAACCCTCAAAGAGGGAGAGGGGGAAAGAAGAAAGTTGTTACAAACAATAAATATTGATCAGTTCCGCAAATCAGATTCAGCTTAGATAGATAAGCAACAAAGTACAAACATGTCTATAGGTGTGTGAGCCCAACTCCATCCAAATACATACCACACAATTAGAAATACCTTGGCCAAATGCTTCAAAGATGGGGTACCGTAAGGCTAATATTGTTTCCCATCAACAGAAGGAAAAACCATGAGAGGCTACGATTGTTTCCTGTCGAAAAAAGGGGGGAGAAAAAACCTCACCCCTAATCCCCCTGTGTAGTCCTGAATTGAATCAAGCCTACAGAGCTTTAATAGTGGTCAATTGGCATCAAAATGGTGCTGTTGGGGATGTACTGCACATGCGCAATGACATCAGTGACGCACGGTGATGATGTCATGATCTCTGACATCATTGCATCATGCAACGTGACGCAAAATGTTAAAAAAGGTCATGGCCATCTTAAAGAAGCCCACGATAGAGGACAAATAACAATAAAAAGACAGGGAATCAAAAAGGGGAAACAACCTCAGTACAGCATGGCCAAACATGGCCCTGTAAATCAAACAACAGGGAATCAATAAGGGGAAACAACCTTTATAGAGCACAGCCAGGCATGCCCCTGTAAATGGACAACAGCTCGTTTAGGACCCATTAAGAAAAAAAGTAATGGCAAAATAATCGTAAAGGTAAAAATATATGCCAGAAAGTCCAAAAAGCATCCGGGAGGTTGGTATCATCAGCTGGTATTACAGAGCACTGTTTTATTTATAGTGACTGCAACAAAAAAGTATATAATAAATCCAAAATCATCATACATCAAGGAAATATTTACATATATCAAATTATGGAAATTGTTCATAACAACAAGAAAAAAAAGGGGGGGGGGGCATAAAAGGGGCTGTGGCAAAACCAGACAAATTTAAGACAAAAAAGGTTTGAAGCTTATATAATCATTTAAGCCTGGTGGCTGAGTAGCTGCCAGGTTATGTATCCATTGTGCCTCTTTTTGGAGGATACGGCAGTCCCAATCACCACCTCTTGGATCTCTACAGGGAAGGATATGTCTCCCAACTGAATAGTGGAGACATGATCATAGATCCTTTCCAGAATCGCCATTTGCTTTTACCTATGTAGAAACTTCCACATTCACATATCATCATATATATACCACCCCTGCCATTTGGCAGTTGGTATAGTGTCGTGCCCTATGATGTCCCCATTTGGTAAAGTATGGTTACAGTCTTGAGAGATGAACTGACAGTATGCACATAAGAAAAAATTGATGTAGCGCTAAGACAAATGTCACTCAACATACATATATAAACAAGTGCTAATAAATGGTCATGCATATATAGACCTATTGCTTATCCCCTAATGGGGGAACGTGACTATATGCTTGTGATAATTGCACAAAACACCATGCAAAGGAATAATATATTCCTACAAGTGACAAAGGTGAATATATTACAGTCCACTGCACACAAATACTGTGATCCTTTTAACAGGCGTGAGAGTGCCACTGGTGTCACTGGTGCCACAATCCAGAAATGGTTTGAGTGCCTCCTCACCTCCCCGCACTGACCACAAGGGCCAATACGCCTTTGAAGAAGGCCAGTGTATCACGGAGGATGCTGGGAGCTCCTTTATATCTGGGGCTCAGTGGAGAGGTGCGGGCAGAGCGGTGTGAGAGGAGCTGTGTACACAACAATGGCAGAGGGGGACAACAGGAGCACCAACCAGCTGGCTGCAGAGACTGCTAGCCTGGAGGACCATTTTCATGGATGGGGTGAAGTGGTCCTGCTTTCAGATTGTGTCCTTCGCTGGGAGAAGCAATGGTTTCCAGCTGCTATAATGGGAACAGTGTCTTTTATCATCCTGATGATCTATTACCTGGATCCTTCAGTTCTTTCTGGTGTATCTTGCTTCGTTATGTTCCTATGTCTTACTGACTATCTTGTTCCCACATTGGCTCCCAGAATCTTTGGCACATGGACCACAGAACAGCAACAGAGGCTGCATCATGAGATCTGCAGCAACCATGTGAAAACCCAATGTAGGATTATTGGCTGGTGGAGCCGGCTCTTTGTTTTGAAGGAAGAATATGTATTTTATGTCTATGATCACGCCTCTTGCTCTTGTACCTTGGATTGGACAGCAAGTTTATAACCTCTTCCTAACCAATCTTAGGGCTCGTTCACACTTGACTGTTTTACCAACGCTTGCCAAATGCCCCTATAGAGTTTGGCAAGCGTTGGTCCGGCGTTTCCGGAGCGTTTTTTAACGCACCACAAATGCTGCAGGCGCAGTTTAGCAGCAGTTGCTAGGCATTTGCAGAGCGTTAAAAACGCCCCACAAATGCCTATAATGAAGTTTAAATGGTGTTACCGCTCCGCAAACGCCCCGCAACCATGTCGCAACCGTGCCGCAAACGCCGGCTGGGTGTTTGCGGAGCGGCACCATAGACTAGAATAGGAGGCTTCAACACCTCCTGACTCGACCAGAGGCGTCCGTTTTGCCGCGACGCATCACTGACGCTCCCGTTAGAACAGCACCATGTGCTGCAATGTGCAGAATTCTCCGAGGCGTTTGGTAAGCGGTAAAGACGCTTCCCAAATGCCTCTCTGCCGCCTGCACACAAAGCTAGTGTGAACGTAGCCTTATAGTGAGGTTTGCACTTTTGCTACCTGGTCTCAACAAACATGGAATTATTACAAAATTTGTAGGAATGGGTAAGCGGGAAATAAATAAACTTCTGAAGCAGAAAGAGAAAAAAACTGAATAAGGTCAAGTCAACTATCACACTGAAATTTCCATGGGAGAATTTAATTTTTTATTCCAAGTTTGCTATTTGGGGATAAAGTATACGCTGACCTTTTGCCGAGCACTCCCCCAATAACTGCCAATGCTGTATCTTTCTAAACTTGTTGAGCTGAAACTTGTAATGTTTCTCTAGTGTAAAAAGTCTTTATCTCTGGAGTGTTTGACAAACTGTTGTAGTTCTCAGTCGTCCATGTCCTGTGGACAAAATTCCTGTGTCCCTCTATTTTTAACCACTTGCCCTCCAGAGGATTTACCCCCCTTAATGACCAGGCCTCTTTTTGCTACTCAGTGCTGCAATAATTCAATAATAATAGTAATAATAATAAATAAATATAATAATAATTGCACGGTCATGCAATGCTGTACCCAAATGAAATTTATGTCCTTTTTTTTCACACAAATAGATCTTTCTTTTGGTGGTATTTGATCACATGTGTGCTTTTTTTTCCGTGCTATAAACAATAAAAGACCAAAAAAGTTTTAAGAAAACCGGTATTTTTTACTTCGGCTATAAAAAAATATATAGTAAACTCAAAGTTAGTTATAAATTTAGGCCAAAATGTATTCTGCTACATGTTATTGTCAAAAAAAAAATCCAAATAAGTGTATATTGACTGCTTTGTATGAAAGTTATAGCGTGTACAAACTATGGTATAGATACTGCAATTTACACCATTTGTTTGCTATACAGCACTGCACTAGTTTAACTGACAAATGCAATACGGTACATAAATGAAATTTATGTCCTTTTTTCACACAAATAGAGCTTTATTTGGGTGATATTTGATAACCTGTGCGCTTTTTATTTTTGGCGCTATAAACAAAAACATTTTGAAAAAAATGTTTTTGAAAAAAACTATATTTTCTCATTTCTGCCATAAAAAAAATCCAAAAAAACTAAAATTTCATCATAAATTTAGGCCAAAATATATTCTGCTACATGTTTTTGGTTAACAAAATCCCAACAAGTGTATATTGATTGCTTTGTGTGAAAGTTATAGCATCTACAAACTATGGTATAGATAATGGAATTTACAGTACACAGATTTTACTTTCTGACTGCACATTTCTTGAGGTGCTAAAATACCAGGATAGTACAAACACCCAAAAACGACCCCTTTCGAAAAGTAGACACCCTAATCTATCTTCTGAGGGGCATATTGAGTCCATGGAAGATTTATTGTTTTTCCACAAGTTTCTGAAAAATGACAAAAACATTTTTTTTGCACAAAGTTGTCATTTAAATGATATATTTCTCACACAAGCCATGGGTATATGTGGAATTACACCCCAAAATGCGGTCTGCTACTTCTACCAAGTATGGGGATACCACATGTGTGATACTTTTTGGGAGTCTAGCCACATACAGGAGCCTAAAATCCAATGACCACTTTGAAAGCCTGAAGGTGCGTAAATTCCTCATTTCTCAGGATAGCACAAACCCCCCCCCCCCACCAAATGATCCCTTTTTGTAAAGCAGACACCCCAAGGAATTTAAATAGAGGCATGTTGAGTATTTTGAAGATCTCATTTTTTCTCACAAGGTTTTGAAATATAAAAAAAGAAAAGAAAAAAAATATGTTTTTGTTTTCTTTCTTCACTTTCCACAAACTTGTGGCAACAAACAAGATCTGTAAAATACTCAACATGTTTCTTATCAAATTCCTTGGGGTTTTACTTTCCCAAAAGGGGTAATTCGGGGGTTTGGTGCTATCCTGGTATTTCAGGGCCTCCGAAACGGTGATAGGTAGTCAGGAAGTGTAATGAGGAAATAAAGCCCTTTAAAAGCCTGAAGGCGCTTATTGGATTTTGGGGTCCTATACTTGGCTAGACTGCCAAAAAGTCTCTCACATGTAGTACCCCCACACTCGGGAAAAGTAGCAGAATGTATTTTGGGGACTAATTCCACATATACCAATGGCACGTGTGAGCAATAAATTATTTAAGTGCCAATTTTGTGTAAAAAAAATTTATTGTTTTTGTCATTTTCCAAAAACTTGTGGTAAAAAAATATATTTTTTCTATTGATTCAGCATGCCTCTCAGCAAATAGTTTTGGGGTGTCTACTTTCCAAAAAGGGGTTGTTTTTGGGGGGTTGGGGCATTTTATGCCCAGCATTAGAAGTTTATGCCACACATCACTCACTCTTCTAACCATCTGAAGATCAAGCCTTTTCTGACACTTTGGCCCTGATTTACTAAGACTTGAGTCTACCAGCAGACTCTGAACATTCAGGCAGACTCAATTAAATCAATCAAGACCTGTCAGTCTTCTGAGCGGCGTCTAGCAATCTCATTGACGAACCTCTACTTTACTATTAGTAAATGTGAAATTGCTCTGGCACATTTTTAGGTGCAATACCGGATATGTTCGCTAGATGGCGCACAAGCGTGGGCATGGTACCATTGGCGTTTTTATGTTAGCAAAAGAGAATACTTAGAATGTAACATAATTAGTACACCTATATTATTTTTTTTTTTTTTTTTTGCTGTTTCTCCAAAATGATCAGACAACTAATGCATTTACTAATGAAACCCTGTCATACATTCTATTTTCAAATGTTAAACATTTCACACTTATATCTCAAATAATTTGGAATGTCTAGTTCTAGTTTCCCAATATAATGATATATCTTCATTCTCTTTAATCACGTAACTATTCTATGTTAAAGTCAAGTGCAGCACTATAAATGCATGTGATCAATAATGAACGCATGTAAAAACCAAAAAGTGCAAAGAATTGCAATAATGGTGTAAAATGGTAAATGGTGCTAAAATAAGTTCATATAATCATTCCTGAATAATGGAATGTCCTTCGTGTGAGAGTACCAACTCAGAGAGTGCCTATGAATGGCACGTGTGGTTTCTCCGTGACGGACAGTAGTGCATGAACTCGTGAAAGATAAACCACCCTTAGGACTGGTCTACACTCACCAGAACAAAAGTATTAATGCGCATGGGTTATACACATCACACATCTGGGGGTGCAGCGGTATGCTGGCAGCTATGGGTTAGTAATCCAGCTCCAGCCATCCATCCATCAGGGTGGGTGCCCAAATGGTCCTGGGGAGGAATTAGCTCAGCCACAGGAGCCAGAAAGGTGCTTAATAGTGTAGTACACTGTCACAAGGGTGGATGACCTTTCACGAGTTCATGCACTACTGTTCGTGGTTATATTTATCTTGTGTAATACCATTTTAGTAGTCTATATAATTTGACCAGCGCTTGCGTTATCATTTTTAAACAGCACTTGGGTCATGGGTTCTAATCCCAGTCATGGCTGCATTCCAGTTTGCATGCTTTCCCTGTATGGATGTGTTTCTGCCAACACTCAGAAGACATGCTGTTAGGTTTGTTGGACCTAGTTACATGGCTGAGTTTTCTGCCCTTAGATTATAAGTTCCTTGACATTTATGAACATTAAAAAAAGGGAGATCAATTTTCTGGGTTGTGTCAGTGCCAGGAATATTGATCAATCAATTATGATTTTTCCTAATGACTAGAAAGTGGATGAATGTTACCTGCGTCCTGTTCTTCTGCCAATTAGGAAATGTGCAAGTTTCATGCTGTGTATATTTTCATTGTAACTTTTTTTTCTTCTTTTAAATCTGTCTCCTTATACAACTTGACCCCCTCCCCCACCCCATCATCCCCTGTCCCATATGCAAATCTATGGATCACCGCCCCACTCTTTTAACTATTTAGCTGATCAGGTGAATGTGTGTCTCATTTTCTATCAGCTACAGCTCAGATCTCACATTATTATACGATTGCTGATTGTATATCACCACTAGTCTGATTGAATTCACAATCCCTGGTCAGTCCCATTCCCTTACCTCTAATAATCTTTTAGGGCCAGTTCACACTACATGTGTTTCAGTTGCTTTTTTGGCATCATAAACGCACAGAAAGAAGGTTATCTGGTTGTCAATGTTATAGTTCAACATCAGCGCTTGCATTTTCAGTGCATTGCAGGTGCGGTAAAGAAAAGTTGACCACACTGCATTGTTTTTCTGCACAGAACTGTACTGGAACACATTGAAATGTCCTTGAATGTACTAAAACGCACATGTCCCTAATTAAATTGAATAAAAAGAAAGTAGAAAAAACTAACTGGAGGGATACAAAAATGCAATGCAACGTGTCCAAAACGCATCCAAAAATGTACTGGAACACACTAAACATGCATGCCAAAAGGGCATGCAAAAACACATCAGGAACACATCTAGACTGTTTCTATAGTGTGAACTGGTCCTTAGGACTTGTTCACACCATTGGTGGTGCAGAAAAAGCATGCAAGAACACACATTTTCCAGCACAGGCAAAGAAATGCAGTGCCCTTTGCAT